TCAGCGCCCGCCGCTCCGCAACATGGCGGCCGCTCCCGCCCCCGCGCGGGGCACGACGGGAGCGCGCCCCGCCCGCCGGCCGCGCGCGCTGCCATGGCAACGGCGGGACGGTGACGTCACGGGCGCGGCGATGACGTCACGGTCGGGGGCCCGAGGGGGGGGCTCCCTGGGTCTCTGGGAGGGGCTCATCAGGTCCCTGAGGGGCTCTATGGGTCCTTACGGAGGTTCTCTTGGTCCCCGGAGGGGTCTTTGGGCCCTTTGGGAGGGTTGTCTTGGGCGTCCCTAGGTCCTCAAGGGGGTTCTTGGGTCTCTGGAGAGGTCTCAAGGTCTCTATAGAAGGTTGTTCAGCCCTTAAGGGTGTTCCTCAGGCCCTTGTGGGGCCTCTTGGGTCCTGAGGGGCTGGCTCTGCCCCCCCATGGAGGGTGTGGGACTCCGGTGTCCCCCCCCGACAGGGTTTGTAGCTCAGTGTGGGGCTGCTCCACATTCTTGGGCAGGGTCCATGGCCCCCCATTCCCAGTCCCTGCCCCACATTATCCCCATGTGCCTGCCTGTGCCTGAGGAGGGGCTGATGCCAGGGGCCCCAGGGTGTTCCTTGAGGGTCACACTGTCCATCTTCACCAGTGCTCTGGTGACCCAGTGCCAGCGTCTCACTGTCACCCTGCTCGGCACAACCATTCTGATCCTACTGCAGCAATGCAGTGAGCTGCAATTCCCTCGTTATTAATCATGGATTGATTCTCTGGTTATTAATCACAGACTCCCTGGTTATCAATCATGGAGCTTGGCCTCACATAATAATCAAGTCTCTCTTTAAAGCTCCCTTGTATGTTATTTACAACAACAAGAAACAGCTGATAACTGCTGCCCTGAGAAGGAACAGAGTAATTCATGGAATTCTGGAATATCTCGAGCTGGAAGAGTCCCACAGGAATCATCCAGCCCAACCCCTGTCCCTGCCCAGGACACCCCAACAATCCCCCCTGTCCCTCAGAGCGTTGTCCAAACGCTCCTGGAGCTCTGGCAGCCTTGGGGCCGTGCCCACTGCCCTGGGGAGCCTGGGCAGTGCCCACCACCCTCTGGGGGAAGAACCTTTCCCTGAGATCCATCCCAACCCCCCTGGCACAGCTCCAGCCCTTCCCTGGCTCCTGTCCCTGGTCCCAGAGC